TCCACCAGCCCTGCATTGTGTTGGATATTTTAAAGATGGGGGCGGGGGGGGGTCTCTCGAACTATTTGCTCAGGCTGGCTTCGAACAATGATCCTCCTGATCTCTGCCTCCTGAGTAGCTAGGATTACTGGCACTGAGCCACGGATGCCCAACAAGAAAGTGAAATCTTGTCCAAAAATCATGAACTCAAGAAAGGAGTGATCCAAATTCAGATTGCTGATTTACAGCAGAGGGAAATGGATGTGTGCAGATGATAGAGGACATCAGCGGCTCCTGAGAAGGATAAAACCCAATGACCAATTCTTGGCCACTTGCCTGAAGCATCTCCCAAGGATCACACATGTCGGGATCTTCACAGACAGAATTTTGTTTTTCTGAAGTCAGACAGACAAACCAGCGTAACTAGCTCAGTGTGGTTGACTGGGTCATCCACAATTCCAGTAGTATCTAATTAATAGTAGCTAAACAAATCCCAAAATTGAAAGCCAGCACAGCTGGGCCTGAACACAGACACTGAGATCTTACCTCAGTCACCCACCAACTGCAGGCTGGTTTGCTTTTGATGTTGTTGCTTTGGTGTTGATGAGACAGTACCTCACTATGTAGCCCAGTGTGGCCTCAAACTCTCAACCTGCTCCCTCCACCTCCTGAGTGCTAGGGATTAAAGGCCTGCTCTGCCATGCCCAGCCTCCAAGTTATTTGAGAGTGGCTAACCTCTTAGCATCACTAACTTTAGGAATAATAATATATTGAATTATTAGCCAAAGATAAAGTAAAAAAAAAAAAAGAGTGTTCAAAAAAATAAGATTACTGAAAAATGGGGGGGGGTGAGGGGTCGGAGGTAAAAGGCTAAGGGAGAGCAATGGAAGGGGATGAATGCACCAGAGAAAAGTATACTCACAGTGGGGAAGCATTGAGAAACCCCTTGGTACTTCAACTTCAATATTAATATCAAAAGACAGGACTGTAAAATAGGTGTAGTGGTGGGGGAGAGTATTTATGGGAGGGAGAAGGGTGAATGAAGGAGATTAAGGTGAGGGTATATACCTTCATATGCCTATATGAAACAGAACAAAGAAACCGTTTGCAGTTGCTTGAAGTGGGGCGAGGAGGGAGGGGTCAAGGGGGAAAGCTGGTGGGGGTGGGGGTGATCTAACCAAAATCCCATCTCTACATTGAATATACCCTAATAAAAATTTATTTTAAAATAAGATTACATTATACATGCTCCCTTCATGCTCCTGAAAATATGAATGTAAAGTATGGAAAAGATTCTTTATAGGAGTTGTCAATTCTTAAATGTATTTTTAAATAGATAAAATACTGCTTCAGGGTCAGACAATTGCAGGAAGCTGCTAAAGTTCCAGGCTCAGGGCTGGCAGAGTAGCTCAAGTGGTAGAGTGCCTACTTAGCATACCTGATGCCCTGAGTTCAAACTCTGGTACCACCAAAAAAAAAAAAAAAAGTTCCAAGTTCAGAGTGAGAACTTCTACAGAGGTATATGTATGGAAAACTATCCTTGAACCATGCTGTATTTAACAAAATAATATTTTCAAGTAAATATGCTTGTCCCTTCAACCTGATTTCTTATCAGACACATAACCAAAATTTTGACAAAAAACAAAAGAGTTTTAGTAAAATTAGCCAGTTTAGTTGATATAGCAGACTATAAAATACCTAACAGTCATTCAAAACTTGAAATGTGAGAGTCTTCTTCTGTGTTCACACAGGAATTTGGAGAGTTAGCTGGCAATTTCATTAAACTACTAAAACATCTGAGTGGGGCTGCGGATGTAGCTCAGAGGTAGAGCACTTGCCTAGCATGCACAAAGCCCTGAGTTCGAGCCCTAGTGCTGCTGCAGAAAAAAATCAATTCTGTGACAAGTAAACATGGTATGTCCACACAATGAGATCTCACTCCACGAATAACACAAATAAATTAATAATAAATGCCACAAGATGGATGAACCCTGACAATATGCTAAGTGAAAGAAGGCAGTCATAACAGACCATGTGTGACATGGTTTCACTTATATGAAATATTCAGAAGAGACAAGTCTATAGGGACAGAAAGGAGGGTAATCACTGGGTACCTGGATAGAGGTGTGGGGCAGGGGAAGAGGAATGGGGAGTAACTGCTAATAGGTTTTTGCAGTGATGAAATTTTTCTAAAATGAAGTGCGGTGACAGTTGCGCAGATGTACTGAAACCCATGAAATAGTACGCTTTAAAATGGGTGACTTGTCTGGCAGGTGAATTAACTCTCAAGGGGTTTTTTTTGCTTCATTTTTTAATTTCTGCAGCCCTCAAGTGATAATTTTCAGCTATTTGTTGTAAAAGACTTAGTTTAGCTATGAGGATTACGGCAACGTGCCATTTGGCCCCTTCTTTTAGAAATACACACTGAAATATTTAATGACTTAAGTGTTAACTGGAATTTGCCTTAACATAACCCAGCAGGTATTAAGAAGGGGGAGTGGCGTTCGGTATAAAGTGAGCAGACATTGATAGCTACTGAAGCTGATGAATGGCCAATGTAGAGTCATTTGCCTGTACCTTGAACACTTGTTAAAATTTTAAAATTTTTTCATAATGAAATATTAAAAGTGCAAGGGGGTACTTAACACTTCCTGGGCACTTCTATGCTACCTATAATGTCTGTGTTGTCTTTTTAAAACTCTGTACACATTGAAATGACGCAATGAGATTTCATTCAAAATAATGTTTCATCTGACAAGTGGAGTAGGGAGCACAAAGGACCTAACTCCTGCCCTGTTTGATGCTTCTGGGGCCTATCAGAACACAAGGGCCAGCAAGGAGCCCAGGAATAGGGTACAGAGGAAACCATTGCTGAAGTGGGATAAGGGCTGTCCATGGCTTCACCCTATAGTGTTTGTATAAATCTAAAAGTGTTCATAATACAGGGGTTTAAAAAACCCACATAAATTCAAAACATAGGACACAAGTAAGTTTTTCCCCCTAAAACACCAAGATAATCACAGCATCCAATGCATCTTCTTAAAATCATATTTAGTTGTTCTGTAGCCATAGTGTCCATTGGTTCTGTTGTGACTTGCAAATTCTGAGGTCAGCCTCAGGAACAAGTCACCAAAATCAGAATAACCAATGGTCACAGGGTTGCACACCTGGGAGACTGGGGTGGTGACATATGGAAGAGGACTTTTCCGTTCCAGATCCCTGATCCTTTCTCATGCTGTGGTTCTCTAGGACCTAGGGACAAAGACATTGCCAGCCAGCAAGTCCACAACATCAGCCTGCATCTTCTGGCCTTGTGTCCTTTATTTTATAATTCATCAAGTCCAATTGCGACTCCACTCAAATCTAAGTGCATTTATTTACAGCAAACAAATTTCAGATTTTAACTTTAGGAAAGAAAAAAAAATGTTTCATAATCCTAAATTAGCTATCTTTGAGAAAACAAGAGATTATGATTTTACAAAGAGCAAATCCCTTAAAAAAAATGTATGCAAGATTCTGACCCGGGGTTTTTAGAGGAATGAAACACAGTTACCACTTGGTTGAATGTGGCCCAAAATGTAGTGGAATGGGGTGCATGACGAATTTAACTGCTACCTTGTTTGTAATACCCAGCCTTGTGGGGTTTCCAGAGCACTCACAGAGAACAGTGGCAGGGCTCAGGGACAGGGTCACAGAGATGGGACTGGTCTACAGGATGTGCAAATTGTGAACTTCACTCACCACAGCACAGAACATATGGCAACAGGACCAACCAACATCAAAGTATTTCAAAAGAAGAGGACTGGCATGGGATCAAGTAGAAATTTTCAGGTTAGGCTTGAAGAACCCGGTGTTCTTAAATGTTCTTATTCAAACAATTACCCTACTTTCAATTACTTCTCTCTACATTCTTAACATCTGGTCTTGAACCTCGGTAGGTGTGGACCTGCAAAAGCCCAGTTTCTGCTCATTACAGATCTAAGTTAAAACTATAGGCACTGCCAAGCTTTTAGACTGAGTTCGTTCACTGACACGTCGTTAACTTACTCATCTCTTACAAATCATTCCACAAAGACCTGTTCCTTGTCTCTCAGCCCCCGCAGACCTTAAGGGATTGGATGCCCTGAAAGTTGGGAAACTATTAAGAGGCAGGGGTCAGTAACCATTGAGTGGAGACCGACACTTGCTCACTGGCAGCCAGGCTGCCCCTTGTGCCCCAGGGATTAGCCTTTCTGATTGTACAAAGAGGTAGGACTAGTCCTGGAGCAGGGCGTGACATCTCCAGCTACCTGCCCCCGAGCTCCTGCAGCTCTGGCGAGCTCATCCATAATGACAGGTTCTGTTTTTTGAAAATCCAATTCTGCACAGCAGTCTGCAAGGCTCCAGGAACCTATGTGGAGTTAGGGACCTCGTTTAATGACCAGGTACAAGCAGGCAGTTACAGACACCCTCTCATTACCTCTGAAGTGCTCCTCTGATAGAATGGAGTCGTCTAACACCAGGTACATTTCACATTTACGTGAGTCTCAACAAGGAGTGAAAACAAATGATGTCAACCCACCAACCGCTCACTCTACCCATCCCCCAAGTACACCCACCGTGACGAGCCCCGATACATCAATGAGCAAAACAAATCAAACCCTTGGCCTCTCGGAGCTTACTTTGGAAATTCATTAAGTCTCAACGGCCGGAAAAGTTTGTGATCATTCTCCCACACTCATGCCATCCACTCCCGCCCTTCCAATCTCTGAGCGCTACACTTTTTTTTTTTTTACGCTATTAACTTGACAGGTACAATAAAAATCCTTTAGCCTCCCCAGGTGCACCCTTGAACTTAAGATTGTCTCTGAACCGTCCTCACTCCACCCCCCCCCTCCCCCGATACACACATTCTCAACGTCTCCAAAAACTTTAAATAACCGGAGGGTCTGTGCTCCCCAAATGCAGCCCTAAAAGAGGGGGGACAGCTGCGGGGGGGATCCTAACCCGAGGCAAGCAGGGCGCCCGCGCACGGGACTCACCGAGGAGCCGGCCCAGAACGGGCACGAGTTCTTCACCTGCGGGGAGCTGCTCAGCGACAGCGCCCCGAAGCTGAGCGCCACCATGCAGCAGCCCAGGATTAACTGCAGCAGCCCGAGCGACAGCAGCGGCCGGGCGGGCAGCAGCGCGGAGCCCGGGGCGGCGGCAGCGGCGGTGGTGGCCCGGCGGGAGGCGAGCGCGGGCGGCGGGGCCAGCACCCCGGTGGCGGTGGCGGTGGCGGCGCAGCGAGGCCGCACCGGGGGCTGCAGCGCGCCCCGGGGCCAGCGCGGCCGCAGCGGGGGCAGCGGCGGTTCCTGACAGGCAGCGGCCACCGTGCCCGGGCCCCCTGCCTGCGGGCCACCCGAGAGCCCCGCCACCGGGCAGCAGGAGCCCGGCAGAACCACGGGCAGAGACATGGAGGGGCAGGCAAGGGAGCGGCCGGCGGCGGGGACGAGTCGCCGAGCGGAGCCGGGCGGAGGGCGCCGCGCACTGGGCACCGCGCACAGGCGAGCGGGCGGGCGGCTCCGAGGCCGACAGGAGGGAAGGAAATGCGCACGGTCCAACCACTTGCTGTCGCCGCCGCCGCGGCCCCGGCTCCCACCGGCCGCACCCACCTTGCCCCCGGCGGATCCGCCCCCCGGCCGGGCCGCTCGCCGCGCTGTCCCCGACGCGCGCCTCGCCAGTGCGCCACCGCCTCGGGGACGCCGCCCAGCCCGCGCCCGCCTCCAAGTCCCTAAGACTGGGACGGTCCCCGCCTCCGCCAAGAGCTGGCCCCGACAGCCCAAGGCTGTCCCCACCGCCGGTCTGGGGCTGGAGAGGAGCGGAGCCCGGCCACCCGAAGGTCCCACCAAGGGCCCGCGTGGCAAGGGTTACAGACCGCGCCTGGCTTTGACTCAGGAGCTAATTAGCATCACCTGGTAGAAAATAGCATCCCAAACTTCGGAGGAAATAGCCTAATAAAATCGTAATCTCCTTTGGTAATAGAAGAGACATCTTTAGACCTTTCAAAAAAAAAATTTACCTTTGCAAGATGAAGTATATACCTTTCCCTCGGAAGAATTGTAATGCGTACAAAGACTCATACCGTAGATGATGATAATGGAGTTTTTTTCCAGCTAAGAATCAGAGCAGTGTCGATTTGCATCTAGTCCAATATTAGAGAGCTTGTCTTATTGGTAAGGTGCGGGTATTTAATATCCACCTGTTCAATAAACAAAGGAAATATGTGCCAGTTTTTATGCTCTGCTTGTGAAGGCTGTGTTTATTTTGGTCATTACTTACTTCAACCGGCAATGTGATGAATTGCTAACGTACGTGTGTTTACACATATACTCTTTAAATTATTGAAGCACCTGTGCTTAATGGGCTCTAGGACTGCTCTCTGGAATAAACTGATCCTGGAGGAAAAAGAAGAGGTCAAAAAGCCGTTTAAAGTCTGTTGTTTCAGGCACTTAATGAAAACCACCTACAGTATATTCTCTTACGTTGAAAGTGATGAGAAGTTTCTTGGGTGCTGAGGCTTAAATGTTTAAGACCATGCAACAGAGTAAGTCGGCCTGCATCTTAAGACATTCTCTCAGCGAAGCAAATCCAATCTATTGACCAGTCCTTGACACCTGAAACAAGCTATTAAAAATGCATTCCTGTGTCTAAGAATGCTGGTGTTAGAAGTCAGGACAGCCTCCTTCCCGTGCGAATAGGCATGACTGGAAGGGGCTTGAGGGGGCCAGTGCTCTTGACATCCATTTCTTTTTTTTTTTTTTTTTTTTTTTTTTGGTGCTACTGGGTGACATCCATTTCTTAATGTGGATGCTAGTTGCTTGGGTAAGATTCATTGTGAAAATTCAATACAGTTCACTTATAATTTGTACATTTCTCTATGCATTTTATACTTAAATACTTGAAAGTATTTCTAAGTGCTCAAAAATTTTTAAGTGTTTTCTCTATGCAGTAACTGCTAATAATGGATGTAGCTTAAATCCATAGGTGGTTTTATCTAATGCCTATTTTATAGGATCACTGAATTGTCTCTAAAGCTACTTACTGATTAAGGGTTAAGAGTTGTACTGTCATTTTCTTTTCTCTCTTTATTGGCTACATTTCTATGAGTTTTTTTTTCTGGTTATCATAAATGCAAATCTATGTGACATTGCTCCAACCTTTAAAGCTATGCCAATTAATGCCCTCAGGTATTTGGGCTTAGGATTTTTGTAACCTGAGCCTGAATCTTTGCACTCCCCAAGCCCCTGTTTACAGCAAGAGGTTAGTCATTCTTGAGTTCTTACAGGATGATTCCGAGCCATTGGATCCAGATTGCCTTAAAAATACTAATGAAGTAAGGACTTTGGAAAGAAATCTAGCCGTTCCCCCAAAAAAGCTAAACACAGTTATCATTTGATCTAGTAATTCTATCCCTAGGTATATATATACCCAAATGAAATGAAGTATGGCTCAAGCAGTGGAGTGCCTGCTTTGAACATGGGAAGCCCATGTTCAGTCCCACAAAGAAAGAAAGGAAATCACATATCTACACAAAAGTTGTATACAAATAGTGGTATTATTTTTGATAGCCAAGAGATAGAAGCAACCCAAGTGTCAATGAACTGGACGAATGGATAACCAAATGTGGAATATCCACCCAATGGAATATTTTCATCAGTAAAAAGGGAATGAAGTACTTATGAATGGTATAATGTGAATGGATGTTGAAAACATGCTAAGGAAGCTGGGTCAGATGACTCACCCTATAATCCTAGCTACTTGGGAGATGGAGATTGGGAGGGCAGCAGTGCTAGGCTAGTCAGGGCAAAAAGCTAGCAAGACCCCATGTCAATCAATGAGGTGGACCTGTGATCCCAGCTATGTGGAAGGCATAAATAAGAGGAGCTCAGTCTAGGCCAGCCCTGGACAAAAGCAAGAGACCCTATTCAAAAAATAAGTAAAGCAAAAATGCCTAGAGGCATGGCTCAAGCACTACAGAGCCTGCCTAGCAAGCATGAGGCCCTGAGTTCAAACCCCAGTACCATGAAAAAAAAAGGTCCTAAATGAAAGAAGCCAGTCACAGAAGGTTACGTACTATATGATTCTATTTGTATGAGCTGTCTAGAACAGACAAGTCTATAGAACCAGAAAGTAGCTTAGTGGCTGTTGAGGGATGGGACATGGGCAGATTGAGGAGAAGGATGAGAACTAGAGTATAGGGCTTCTTTTTAAGGAGGTTAAAAAAAAAAAGTCCTAAAATTGATGGTAATGATGATTGCACAACTCTGTGAATATATGAAAAACCAGAGTTGTACAATTGAAGTGGGTAAATTATATCCCATAAAGCTATTACCAAAAAAGTAAACACATCAAGTGAGGAAGAACCTGTGGACGGCTTGACCCAGATACTCCATTAATGTGGGCAAAAGTTCAAGTTCACAATGGCTGGACCATATGGTGTGGTGGAACCCAGCTACCAGTTCCCCTCCAGATCAAAGTTAAATTGCAAGAAGGCTGTGTCTCTCCCACCCTCTCTCCCTGCCTGCGCTTCACTTTCCACTGGCTGTGCTCAAAGCGCTCTCTACTGAGGAGTCAGGCTCTGTGCTCAGGTTTTTCTGAACACTTTTAAACAAACCCCTGCTGGTTCCTTCCATACTCAGCTGATCCTCCCTGCCAGTTAATTAGTGTGTGTGTGGCAGGAGCGGAGTTGCTGATGGTACTCTTGCTCAAAACATGTCCCTGCAGCCTGCCTCCAGCCCCTACGTATCACAAAAAGAGAGGAGGGAATGTGGACTCTTGAAGCCTCCATTAATATGGCAGTCCTGGAGCAGCTTCTCAGACTGTGATCCACAGACCACAGAACCATGCTGGAGGTGGCCACGTCAAAATGCAGGCTCCCAGGCCACCCCCAACCCCCACCACCCATGCAGTCATGCACTCAGATACTCTGGACTGGAGAGCTAAGGACCTGCTTTTTGTTTTGTTTTTTTGGCAGTATGGATTTTGAACTCAGGGCCTTGTGATTGTTAAGCAAGCATTCTACAACTGAAGCAACCCCTTAATCCACAGGGACCTGCATGTTAACAAACTTAGAGAAATGTTAAAATACACTACTATTCAGACTCCAGAACTTTATATGGTTATTTTTACATGTGAGGGGAATAGGGACAGCAATTGTACTGAAAGGTAAAGGATTTGGCTTAAAAGCAAACTTAGGAGGCAGACATGGTGGTGCATACCTGTAATTTCAACTACTCAGGAAGTGGAAATAGGATCAAAGTTCAAAGCAAGCGTGGGCAAAAACTTAGTAATCCCTTATCTCAAAAATGAGCTGGGTGTGGTGGTGCATGCCTGTGGTTCCAGCAATTGAGAGGGAAATGAAGATAGGACAATTGGTGTCTGAGACTGGACTGAGCAAAAGTGTGAGACCTTATCTGAAACAAATTAAGGTAAAAAGGGGTTCAGTATGGCTTGACATAGCAAGTGCAAAAACCTAAGTTAAACCCCAGGACCACCAAAAAACAAAAAAGCAAACCTCACATGTAAATTGGGAGGAAGGGCTTTGTTGCAAGTACTGCTGTGCAAGTGACTTTCAGATACACTGAATTGCACTGGAATGGGTACCCAGCCCCACCCATCTGAAGCCAGTTGGGAGCTTCTTTAACTTCACCTGTAAATGCAGGAGACCTCACCTGCCTGAGGCTGGCAGCCCAATCCTTTGGATTCTTCTAGGCCTGCAATTCTGAAGTTCAACCATTCTCATGGGCACAGCTTCTCAGAGGAGGGCAACAAAACAAGGATGATGCCAGAGCAGTTGAATTTGCATATGGAAGAGTTAAACTTACAGAGCCCAAATATCCAGGACAAAACCCCAGACTTGCTCTTCTAAACATCAAGGTTCGAATTCCACGGTCACTGGTTTTCCATAGGGCACCGTGATGTGTGAAAGGTCAGGTGGAGGAACAGGGATGAGGGGGCAGGCAGAGAAAAGGCTGTGTGACTTTTTAATATTTTTAAATTAAAAGAGAAGAAATTGAATGAAAGAAAGAAATTCTGAGCAGGCACATTTTTCTGCAGTAGTGGTGCAAACTGTTAAGAATTGCTAATGCTTCTGCTCTCAAGATAGACTTCTTTGCTGAAATTAAATACTGAAAACTTCTTATATTGCAACTCCGACAAAAGATAATTTAAGCCAACTGTCCTGAAATTATTTATGGCTCATAAATTTCTAGGGGAGATAAGCTATATGTGATAAAGCATATCCTACAAATATGTGAGTGGTGAGTGTGTGTGTGTATTTGTAACCTTGTAATGTCAGAGCTTCCTGCAGTTTCAAGTTTCTGTAGAAGTCAAAGCTGTAATTTGCCTGAGTGGAGACTTCCTTTGTTCTGGGGAAATTTCTGGACCAGTTCGTTTAGTTAAGTAAATGTGAAGTGTAGGCCTTTTCCCTATACAATAAAGTACAGAAAGAACAATGTAACAAGAGAGGTTTACTTGGAATGGTGTGACCAGAGTTGCCTCTCCCTCTGCCAAGGAGTAGTTTATCTGAGGTATTGCTCA